TATCATTTTAAGATAAGAATACTACTTTAAATATATTTAAGACCTATAATATTAAGTGTATTTATTTATTTAATAATTTATAAAAATTATATAAAAAAGTTAGGTAAAAAAGTTGTATCTATATTATTGTCTCTTCCTTAAAATATATAAAAAAATAGTATCATTTTAAGATAAGAATACTATTTTAAATATATGTAAAATCTGTTAAGAAAAGTATTTATCAGTTCAATTTTAAAAAATTAAAAAAAATTCAAAAATAACCCTATTTCACTAAATTTTTTTTAAAAGACTAACTTATTTTTAAAGTAAAAATGAAATGATATTGATCTTTTTCTTGTGGTGCCTTAACGAGACAATTAATTTTAAAATAATCATAAATAACAGTAAAATTTAAGTTATATCAATTAAAATATTAATAAATAAATTTTATATTATTTAATAATTAATTATTTTTATTCTATTTAAATTTGTACATAATATTATATATATTAACTTATTTAATAACATAATTTATACTCTATTATTGATCTCAAATTTTAGTTTTCAAAATTTCCTTTTAATTTTTTCAATGTCCAGGTTATATATATTAATATTATATATATTTTTTTAAATTTATATTTTATATATTTCTGGATTAAAAAAAAAAAAAGGGCTAATGTATTGCATTCACAGACTACGACATAAGCAGCCAAACTAACCCATTTTCGCACATAAAGCTCTAAACTATTTTTTATCCTTACAGGCCCCTAAACTTCGGGATATAAGCAACCCTTGTTAACGGTTTCGATACCACTTGTTTAAAATCTAATCACGGCAGTAAAAGAAAATAGTTAAATAATAGTTTAGTGCATGTACTTCTCAAATTTTAAAGAAAATTAATCCCTATACTTAAAGAAGCTTTACTAAAAAATTTGAGAAAAAAGAAAAGTATCAATCCTATTAGCAGATATTCCAAAACCCCACCATGGTTTTCATTTTTCAAAAAATCCATTAAACATAATTTTCCAAATTTCTCCCTAACTCATCTCAAAATCAAAATGAAAAATTAGAAAGGCAAAAATGGCATGATATATATTTCAATATTCTTCTTTTCTCAATGTGAGGAAGTACAATTTTGTATTGATCTAATTGTGAGAGGAACACCACGTAAAACTGAAATGAAATTTATTTATGAATAAGGTACGGGAAAATTTTTAGATATTCTTTAAATAATTTAAGTTCTTAAAGATTTCATAATTAGGGGGCGAAATAAAAGTTAGTTGAGCTTAGCTTCTTGCCTACATTTATAGATGATATGTGAATGAAACTCAATTGTCACTTTCAATTATTTTTTCATTTATTTAATAATTAAATATGAAATCTCATTTTTTTTTACAATTTACTATTTTGATTGGAAAAAAGTTATCCCATAGATTACATTTCAATAGCTACCATTAATTATATATTTTCTAATCTCTAAATTTTTTAGAAAGAACTAGTTAAATAACAAAAATTTATTTCACTATAACTTTTTTTTTTCCTGGTTGATTTTGGGCTGTGTTGGAAATATGATGTGAGCAGATTTATTAAGATTTGTGACATGGAAGCCATGTTGAGAATTGTTGTATTATTATTATTTTATTTTTTTATCATAGGATTATTTGTTCTTTTTATTTCTTGTTTAAATTTTTTTAGTAAATTTGGATAAAAATGAAAGAACTAATTTTTGTTAAATTTGAAAGTATATGGACTAAACTACAATTTAACCTTTTTCTTTGACCGCTGTGATCAGATTTTTTTACGGTAACGAGCGGAACCGTTAACAAAGGGTTTCCTTCTGGCATAAATAGAAGAGTTAAGGGCTTATAAGTCTAAAAATATAGTTTAGGGGCTCGTGTCCAAGCATAGGGTAAGTTCAAAAGCTTAAAATTTGCAATTTTAAATTTGTAATATCAATGTGCAACCAAAATTAAAAATCATCCGTTCATCTCAAAAGAAAAAAGAAAAATAAAATCATCCGTTATCAAAGGAAAAAAAAAAAAATCTTCTAAACATCTGATTTTCCACACAATATTGAATCCATAATCATGGTGACCAAAAATTTCCGTGATTGGTAAAAAGAGAAGGAATTTTCTCAAACTATAGATATCTCCAAGAATTGAAAGCCATTTTCAAACTTTTCCCAGCTTCACGTTGCACAAGACTTGTAAAAGCTGTATTATTATTATGGTGGGGTAAAAGGGACAATGAAAGCACTAATTAAATTGACTTTAAAGCACCAAGGACCAAAAAGACATCCAAGTCTTGGCAAACGCGCTCGAGTGATCATGATCGGATACAAAAATAGGCTACTTTTAATTACTTACTCGGATTCTTTATCTTTAGTGTAACTTCGAGGAAAGGTGTTTTATTTGCCTATCCATAGGACTATATATTAATGTACAACCAAAATTAAAAATCACATCTCATCTTCCATACAATATTGAAACCATCATTATGAGGGAAACTTTTTGTGCTATGCTTGTTCTAGTTGTTGCATTGTTCTTTGGAGCTGCAGAGTTTTGTTCTGGTCGAAACACGAGCTTTAGCTGTATAGAAAGGGAGAGAGAAGCCCTCTTGAAGTTCAAACTTTGTTTCCATGATCCATTGCATATGTTGTCTTCTTGGAAAGGCAATAACTATTGTGAATGGAGAGGAGTACGCTGTGACAAAAATAGCGGATATGTTGTCTCGCTTCAACTCAGGGGATCAATATCTTATCAACAACCTCAATTATACTTAATTGACAACGTAGAGGAGGTTGTTTCAAGTTTGCTCAAGCTGAGATACTTGGAACACCTGGACTTGAGCAGAAATAATTTCAGTGGTAATCTTATTCCACCCTCTTTTGGCTTGATGAAGCAGCTGAGGTACCTAAATCTCTCTAATGTGCAGTTCACAGGAAGAATTCCTGGTGAACTTGGAAATCTTACAAGAGTTCGTGTTCTTGATCTTTCTCAATATAATCATGGGAGATTGAAGGTTGATGATGACATTCAGTGGATTTCTCGTCTCTCCTCTTTGCAACAACTTGATATGAGTGGAGTAAATTTAAGTCATGCCTCATCAAACTTGTTCCAGGTACTTGGCATGCTTTCTTCATTATCATGGTTGAGTCTGTCAGACTGTAGTCTAAAAAATTCTCACATACCATCTCGCAACCATCCCCTTAATTTTACATTTCTTGGAAATATTAGGCACTTTGATATTTCATGGAACTCTTTTCATGGTCCATTGCCTATTTTTCTCCAAAACATGACTTCATTGACATTTCTTGATATGAGTGGAGTAAATCTAAACCTTGCGTCATCAAACTTGTTTCAAGTACTTGGCATGCTTCCTTCATTGTCATGGTTAAGTCTGTCAAGCTGTAGTCTTGAAAATTCTCACTTACCATCTAGTAGCCATCCCCTAAATTTTACATTTCTTGGCAATATTCAACACTTTGATCTTTCATTGCACTTTTTGCAAGGTCCAATATCTATATTTCTCCAAAACATGACTTCCTTGATATTTCTTAGTCTTTTTTGTAATCAATTGAGTGGGAGTATTCCAGATGGCATCGAGCAACTTTCTAAGTTAGAGAGCATATATCTTTCTAGCAATCAATTAAGTGGGAGTATTCCAGATAGCATCGGGCAACTTTCTAAGTTAGAGAACATAGATCTTTCTGGCAATCAATTGAGTGGGAGAATTCCAAATAGCATCGGACAACTTTCTAAGTCAAAGATCATAGATCTTTCTGAGAATCAATTGAGTGGGAGTATTCAAGATAGAATTGGGCAACTTTCTAAGTTAGAGAGCATAGATCTTCATGGCAATCAATTGAGTGGGATTATTCCAGATAGCATTGGGCAACTTTCTAAGCTAGAGAGCATAGTTCTTCATGGCAATCAATTGAGTGGGAGTATTCCAGATAGCATCGGGCAACTTTCTAAGTTAGAGAGCATATATCTTTCTAGCAATCAATTGAGTGGGAGTATTCCAAATAGCATTGGGCAGCTTTCTAAGTTAGAGAGCATAGATCTTTCTGGCAATCAATTGAGTGAGAGAATTCCAGATAGCATCGGACAACTTTCTAAGTTAGAGAGCATAGATCTTTCTGCCAATCAATTAAGTGGGAGTATTCCAAATAGCATCGGGCAACTTTTTAAGGTAAATAGCATAGATCTTTCTGGCAATCAATTGAGTGGGAGTATTCCAGATGGTATCGGACAACTTTCAAAGTTAGAGAGCATATATCTTTCTAGCAATCCATTTGGAATAGGATTTCCTAAATGGCTTCTATTGCAAAAGACAATAGTCACGATTGAACTCTCTAATGCTAGCATCTTAGGTCCTTTTCTAGAAAACATCAGTCATATGATGCCAATGTTGCAAGGATTATATCTTGCGAATAACCTCATGAACGGTTCAATTCCAAAGTCACTATGCAATTCAAAATCTTTGATGTATCTGGATCTCTCAAGCAATATGTTTTCTGGAAGTATTCCTAATTGTTGGAGAAATGATCAATTATTCAGTTCTATTGATCTATCTTCTAACAATCTCTCAGGTTTATTTCCAAGCACAATGGAACGACTTTCTTCTTTATTTGTACTACACTTGAACAACGATAGTCTCCATGGGAAACTACATGTGGCCTTGAAAAACTTCACTTCTTTAGTGATTTTGGATTTGGGCGAAAATGAATTTTCTGGAAATTTAACAAGCACTGTAGGGGGTGAGATCAGCAACCACCCTTTAAAAATTCTCGGACTCCGAAAAAATTTGGTTTCTGGTTATATTCCTTTGGAATTATGCTCTTTCTCTCAATTACAAATTCTAGATCTTGCAGATAACAATCTGATAGGAAGGATTCCTCCTTTGTTTTGGAAAGTTTCTAATTATGGTGAATGCAACACAATTGATCAATAGAATGGATGAGAGATATTGGTATTGGCCACATTTGATGGTGGTTATGAAAGGGAGATACATTGAGTATATAAGCAAACCCCTACGATTTGAGAGTAGTATAGATCTTTCAAGTAACAATCTAATAGAATCCATACCAGATGAGCTAATTTTCCTTAAAGATTTGCACAATTTGAATCTGTCATGGAATCATCTCTCAGGAAAGATCCCTGAGAAAATTGGACAAATGGAGAATTTGGAATCTCTCGATTTCTCCCATAATGGCCTCTTAGGAATGATCCCGAAGAGCATGTCAAGTTTAACCAAGTTAAGCCACCTCAACTTGTCCTACAACAACTTGTCAGGGCCAATTCCAACAGGCTATCAACTCCAAACACTTGAAGACCCAACCATTTACATCGGCAATCCTCAACTTTGTGGAGCTCCACCCCTGAACAAATGCTTAAATGGTGTGTTGCCTCCAACAACAGCCAACTTCAAGGACACCGATGATGGTGCACTTGAAAGATTGTGGTTTTACATTGTCGTGATGTCAGGCTTTGCAACTGGATTTTGGGGAGTCGTGGGAACTTTGATTTTTGTGAAAAGTTGGAGATATGCTTATTTTCAATGGGTGGATGATGTCAAACATTGGATCCTTATGGTTGTTACATTGAAGGTGGAACGATTCAAGAAGATGTTTAAGGGCAACCTAGATGATTAGTGACTTATATATGGAGTATGTTGTTATTGCTACATTTGTTATTGAACCAATTGGACAACCCCACATTGTTGGGTGTGGTGTCTAGTCTAACTTTGAATGTGCCAACATTGAATGGGCCAATTTTTGATGAACACATAAGCATTAGGGTTTGAAAAGTTTTCAATAATGTAACATGGGCTTAGTTCTAAAGGTTTCACAAAAATAAAAATTCATAAGTTAAAATAGAAAATAGAGAATTTTGTGTGAGGCTTTTAGATTGCATGGATTTTTATCTTTTCAATTTTGTTAAACAAAAGTAAAAAAGAGGGAGAGAGAGAGAGAGAGAGAGAGAGAGAGAGAGAGAGAGAGAGAGAGAAAGAGCAAGAGATGAAAGAATAGATAGGAAGAATGGCTTTGTTAAGTATACAATAATAGCCAAAATAAAATTCTCGCATATTCATGGTCAAAGTTTGAAACTTTCAATTTCACAAAATCAAATTGCTGAATTGAGTATCCAATATAATGCATCTCTTACATAAAATTCTCATGTCTTCAATATTTCCTAAAACACATTTTCACATTGCATAAGGCATATCAACCACAGACTCATAAAACATTGTCAAGGCTAAATAGTGAAGTCTGTTATGTTAGTTTAACCCTAAAGAGTTGACTAATTTCCTGCAATACAAAATGAAACACAATTAATCATTTGTTGTTTTTAATTTTAGGGTATTCTACTCTTGTAATCACCAAACTTAAACATGACTTTCATTTTAAGCACTCAACCTTCATATTTGTAAATTTAGTCACCAAACTTAGTTTTAAAGTGAAACCATTGGTCATTAACCATTAATGCCCCTTATTCCGTTAAGTACTTCTATGGCGTGGCACCATGTAGACTCCAAATGGTCTAAGAGAATTATTTTTCAACTAATAAACTTTAGGTTAAATGCTAAATTTGGTCCCTTAACTTTACAAAATGCACATTTTTGGTCCCTCAACAATTTTTTGCACTTTTTTGATCTCTCAACTATACGAAATGCACTCCGTTAGTCCTTTCATCAATTTGGGCCGTTAACTTTGCCATGTGGCATTTTTTATATTTTTTTTGATGACATGGAGAGCAAAATTTTAAAAAGTGCTGATATGGACCAAACGTTTTGCCATGTCATGTTCCTGCGGGTCATAAGCGCCAAATCCACTCAGATGAGCCCCACATTGCCTGCCAAAGCACCAATAAAGACACGATAAACTCTGGGATTGCAGAGATGTCTTTTGGATTGCTTTTCCGGGAGAAAAAAAAAATCTAATAACTTCTACAGAACAAAGAACATTGCACTTTCGAAGAACCCAAACCCTATACTCTTTGGGATTGCAGAGATTTTCTCAGAGTTTATCCTATCTTCCTTGTTCGATTCTCCTTCAAAGTTCGAATTCAAACCCTAGATTTGTTGGGATTCCAAGGATTTTGCTAAGGGAATCAAAGTTGTTATTGTTGAAAAGTCACTCGAAAGCAGGATCGATGGACCCCAATGACCCCAAAATCGTTGATGTCGACCTGGAACCAAGCGAAGAGATTCTGGAAGATGAGGTATCGATATGGGATTCCTTCTCCTTTTTTCTATTGTTGTCTAACTGATTTAGAGGGTACTTTTTTATACTGACATGGACCCTTTTCTGATAAAAGTGATGCAAAAATTTTGATGCATGTTGAACTACACGACTATTCGAGGAGAAAAGGACATTAGGTCCCCACTTAGACAGGAAGTTTGTGTCATTTTTGTCTTTCCCATTTACTTTTGGGTTGAATAATAATTTCTTTATTGAGTAAAATTGTCTTAACAATTTAAAATTTTTGCTTTCAATGTTGTTGGTTTTCTGGTGTCTGCTGTGTTGACTTGCATTCAGACCAAATCTGTATTGAGTAATTTATTTGTTTGTTTGCTTTATTTATTAGGGTGAGCATGATTCAGGAAATGAGGCAGAAACCAAATTTGTACCAATTTTCATTCATTTGGGTGGGAGGTTTATACAGGGAGTTGGTAATTCAATTTCATACGTTGATGGTGAATGTGATGACTGGATTATTAATAGGGATAAGTTGACATTGTTTGAACTTTATACTAAGATTGGTATTGCTGGATATGATGCTGATATGGTCGACCAAATATGGTATTTAGAACTAAGAAAAACAATTACAGATGGTTTGAAACCTATTAAGAATGATCATGACATTAGGGATGTTTTGGGGGTGTTGAAGGTGGAGAAAAAGGTACATATTTATGTGTCTCATGTCTAGGATTTTGCTGAAATTATACCTATCTTACCATTACCAGCACCTAGTGAAAAGGGTACGGTTGACGACAATCCTGTTGAGGTTGAGGGGAGAGTAGAAAATGATCATGTTGATGTGGAAGGCAAAGTTGAGGATGCTGGTCATACGGTTGAGGTTGAAGGCAGAGTTGAGGATGCTGATGATGATGGTAATGAAGACAATGAACATTCCGAGGATGAAGATGATTTTCTTCCATATATATCAGAATTGAGTGATAATGAAGATGAGGAAACTGTCGAGGCGAGAAAGAAAATGAAGTCTTTGCATGAGGCGTCTTTGCATGAGGCAACTTCTAGATCAAAAAATGCTAGGAAAGGTGTTAAGTATGGTCGTAGTCAACCATCAGCAAGTATTTCATCAACTTTTATTTTATTTAGTTCATTAATGAGTTAATGGAATACATAGTAACATATATGCTTTGCCTGCATGAGCTAGTCATGAAATTCCCTCATCTTCAATTGGTCACAATGATCTTGGTCCTGAGGATTCATTAAGCTCAGATGATGATATCAGCTACATTTCAACAAGTGAAGAAGATGGAAGTGAAGTTGAACACGCTAGGAGAAGGAAGGGTAGGCACAAAGTTTTAAGAGGAACAAATGATGGCAATGTATAGATTGAGTTAGGCATGGTTTTTCTAAACAAAGCTGAGTTTAAAAAAGCTGAGGATAAATTGAGTATTATGCAAAGGAGGCCAATTAAGTGGGTCAAGAATGATAAGAAGAGACATAGGGCTATTTGTAATGAAAGGCACTGTGACTGGAAGATTTTGTTAGCATGGGATAAGCCAACCGAGACATGGATGGTCAAGACATTTAACAGTGAACACACATGTGAATGGGGATCGACCAATTGGAGATGTAATTCAACATTTGCAATGAACCATTTATTGAAGACTAAGGGTTTTACTGCTATTTATTTGAAAAGTGGAGATATTTTTACCGAAATATGGGATGATTTAAACGTGGAGTTGACTCACGTCCAATGTAGGATTATTAAAAGGAGGCTGAGAAAAACTTTTGAAGGGGATCATTCATTGGAATACAACAAGCTTTTTGATTATGCTGCAGAACTAAGAAAAAGAGATCCAGGAGCCACTGTTTCGATTTATGCACCGAGGCCACTACCTGAACTCAACCCTATTTTCTTGAGGATGTATATGTGTTTTAGTGCAATGAAAAAGGGATTTATTACTGGATGTAGGAGAGTCATTGGTTTAGATGGAGCTTTTCTCAAAGAATCACACAAAGGGGAATTACTTACTGCTGTCGGTAGAGATGCAAATGACTAAATGTGCCCAATTGCATGGGGTATAGTGGAAGTTGAAAAGGAAGAAAGTTGGTCGTGGTTTTTGGAAGAACTTAAATATGATTTGCAAATAGGAGATGCTGATGGTTATGCTATAATATCTAACCAAAAAAAGGTATAATATACTTTATTTTCATTTATATATATAATTTAGTGTACTTTTCAAGTTTCAGTTATACTATCATACGTGCATGGTATGCATGCTGTGTTGTAATAAGTTTATATATGCACTTTTTTGGTCCCTTAATTATTTATTACTGCACTTTATTGATCCCTAAACTTTTTATTATTGCACTTGTTTGGTCCCCCAACTTTTTATCATTGCACTTTCTTGGTCCCTGATCTGATAATGTCTTGTATTTTTTATTTATTTATTTTGGTTATAGTTGATAATGTCTTGGTTAAATGCAGGTGTTAATAAATGTCGTTGCAGACCTTTTTCCAAATGCAGAACACAGACATTATGCTAGGCACAGATATGCCAACTTCAAGAAGAAACACAAAGGGAAGGAATTGCAAGCCTTATTTTGGAGATGTGTGAAGGCATTGAATGAGGCAAAATTCAATACAACCTTAGTAGAGTTAGGCAAATTGAAGCCTGCAACAAGGGATGACATAATGAATGTAGATCCCAAGCATTGGAGCAGAGCTTTTTTCAAAGCTGAAATTAAGTCATCTGTGGTCGACAATAACATGTGTGAGGTGTTCACTGCCTTGTTAATGCACGACACAAGGCAATAATTTCTATGAATCAAGAAATGAGAGCTATGTGTCCAGCAAGAACTGTTTTTAGGAGAGAGTTTGGATCTGCTAAGTTTGTGGGAGAATTTGGCTCTAAGATATGGACTAAGATTGTACGGAATAGGAAAGGTAGCAAGAAATGTAAAGTCCTATGGCCTGGTGGAGGTGGTTTTGAAGTTGAGGATTACCTGAATAGTAAAAATAAAGTCGATTCAGGCAGAAACACTTATATTGTAGATTTTGAAGATAGAAAATGCACCTGTAGGTATTGGGATATATCTGGGATTCCTTGTAGACATGCCATGACTGTATTGAGTTTAAAAAAACTGAGAGTTGAAGAATATGTTTCAAATTGGTACAAGTTGTCAAGATTTAGGGCCTCTTTGCATATGAGGTACCAATTGTTGAAGGCATAAATCAATGGACACCAACAGGGATGCTAGCCATACAGCCACCTACACCACAGAAGATGCCTGGCAGGCCTAAGAAAAAAAGACATCCTGAAGAATGGGAAGGAAAGAAAAAAATGGGAAGACAAGGAAGACAAATGACCTGTTAGAAATGCTTCCAAAAAGGTCACAATTCCAGATCATGTAAAAGCCAACTACCGAATGTAAGTAACATGCAAGTTTTATTTTTGTCCCTATATTGGTACACTAAGTTAATTATATTTTGGTTACCATTTTTAGGTGCCGCAAATGGAGAATGAACCATCTGTGGAGCAACCACCCCTTGTTGAGGACAACCATCCACCATCTGTTGATGACAACCAGCCACCCCATGGAGAAGACAACCAGCCATGCATTGCTGAGGAAGAACTAGTGAACATGACCCAAGAAGATCCTCCAGTGAGTCAAGTAGTTAGCCCAACTCCACCAGTTCAATAGGCCACAACTCCCACTACAAGAAAGAAAGAGAGAGCTAGAAGCGCTCATCAGCTAGTAATGGGTTTAACAACTCAGTTTTTTTTTTTTTAATTTAATTTTTTACCCCACAAAAGATTTTTTAGCTTTAGGATTTGAAAATCTTTCTTAAGAGTTTGTTTGGTTGAAGGATTGGGTGTGATGGATTTGTCAACTAATCAGATTGCAATATTTGAAAATATTATAATTTGATTGATTATAATTAAAACGCATCCTTTTTGCCAACAATCTAAGGAGTTCAGGGATGAAAAAGGGTTACCTCTCATTGAACAGGGAGAGGGTTACCCAAAAAAAAAAAAAAAAACTCATTTGTTCTCTTTCATCCATTTCCTTCAAACCAAATATACTATTTAAATGTGGCAATTTTTCCTTTCCTCCCATGGGGACCCCATTTCATGTACTGTAAAAAATATAATAATTTTTTTATAAACTATTGTAAATTGGATTCAACCCACACTTCAACAAATTTCAGATACTTTTAGTAAATTTATCATTCATTTTAATGACAAAACCCAATATTCATTATGCCATTTAAGTCTAACTTAACTACTCAACACATTTGCCATTTAATATTGTAAAGAAGAAATCATATGGTAAATTTTTATAAATTATTATAAATTGAGGTGAGGGAAGATTTTTTTTTCTCCTTCAACAAAATCATCATGGGGATGGGGAGTGCTCTTTGATCATGTGGGGCCTTACTACCATTCCTAATATCTCCATGCTAACAATTAAAATGTTTATACTCATCAAGAATTTGGAATAAAATTATTCCTATTGTAAATACTAAGAATGCTATTATTTATTTTATTGGTTGATTAAGAGTTAGCACTAATGCCTTTTTGGTTTGAGGGAGAGGAGAGAAAGGGAAGCTTCTCTATTTGTATAATAAAAAATTGGAGGGGAAATGAGGGGAAATGAGTGGAAGTGAGGGGTTTTTCCTTCTTTTGTTATTATTATTATTATTATTTTGCATTTTAGTCTAACCAAACTGGGGGGAGGGGGGGGCTTTATTTCCCTTAAACCAAACATAAGATAAATGTATGGATGATTCTTCTATTTTGAAATTCCTTGGATTGCCTTTTTTTTATTCATTATTTGGGAATTTTAGTAAAAAAGAATAACAAAGGTTTATGAGTATTCTCAAGATTCTAAATGATTTTCTCTTATTATTTATAAAACTCTTAAATTTTAGTCAATTTTTCTTATTTAGTCCTATTTATCTATTAGGCAACTTGATATGTTTTGCTGACATAAATCTCCTTTATATTTTATTAAACATTGATAGTAAGGGGGCTGCCTTTTTCAAACCTATCAGCAGAGGAGGAATCTTCAAGGATCATAATGACAATTACATTATGGGGTTTGCCAAGCATATAAGCATTATTAATAGAGTAAGTGTTAAGCTTCATAGAGGATAACTAATAAAGTAAGTGTTAAGCTTCATAGAGGATAACCTCCAACTTTATTGTTGCCAAGGGATTTTTTAAAATTAACATTGAGTTTGACTTTATATATGCTATTCATTTATTGTTTGCCAATATCTCTAACATTTTGAATTGCAAAGAACTCATGAGGAATTTTGTTCTAGCTCAACATTTTAAAATGTCGATATGAATAGCCATATATGTACTAACCAACTTCTCAAGATGGGATCATCAGTTTCTTTAACTTTTGTAGTTTTTGATAAAAGTTCATCTCTTGTGATTGCATTTTATTTTACTTATGTACTAGGGGTCCACTTTCTAGAACCACACTAATAAACTCTTTTTTGTTGTACTAATACAATTTTGTCATATTTTTTCTCAAAAAAAAAAAAAAAAGAAAAAAAGAAGAAGAAACCTTCTTCTTTTTCAAGATATTAATATTTCTCATTTTTATTTAAAATGTTTAATTAATAGTATGTTTGTATTGAAGGAAGGGGAACATTTTTTTACTGATCATATTGCCATATTTAAAAGACAATATAATTTGATTGGTTAAAAAATCTTTCCCTCCTCTCTTGAAACAACTTGAGTTAAAATTTACCACTGAATTAACATCTCTTTGGGTTAAAGTCCACGGCCCTCCAAATCTCAAGTTATTAATAATGATTGGTTTCCACAATTATGTATTAAGTTTACTCACAAGTACCCACCAATGTAGGATTTGGGATGTTGCACTTCCATTTTCCTCAATCCAAATATATTAAAAGTCGTTCCTTTTCTTTATTTTTTATCTTATAGAAATCCTTTTATTTGTATAAAAATATAATAATGCTCTAAATTAATATGTGAAAATAAAATTGGGTATAGATAAAAAAGTTTCTTATAATCCTTTACTGGAAAACATTGATATATATTAAAAAATTACACAAATGTATTTAACATTTACTTTTAATTTATATTTAATTTTTAAAAATAAATAATATCTTATTAAAAAATAAAATTCAAAAAATTAAAAATATAAGTTAATTAATTGTATGTCCCATGCAAGGGCACGGGTACTATCTGGTATTAGAATATGATTGAAGAAAGCAGCAATGTTTTGACTCAAAAAGACCAAAAAACCAAACTCAATAAAGTGGATTCTGTGATGAGATGTAAGAGCAAAAGAGGAAAATCACTTTGGATTAATACACTTAGACATTAGATACCCATTTCACCCCTTACTGAAAGTAAAGAGAAGAGCCAAGTTCAAGGATTAAAAGGAAACTAAGTAAATATTTTTGTTAAATGACCAAAAGGCCAGAGTATAAGGGGAGGGAGAATGGGAGAAGCAAGGGAAAAATATGGAAAGAACACCTGTGAGAGGGAGGAGAGTTAAGAGTGACTGTTAATTTTGTGAGAGGGGGTGTTCCTGCCGTTAACTGTTTAGATATAAGAGTGAGCTCCTGTTGAACATATTCTAACAATCTAAGCAAGTCTGGTGACAATCTTTTCTTCCAGTAAAGGAAAAGAAATCTTAAGTTTGGATTTTGAGCATACAAATGAGGTGTATAAAAAGATGGAAAAAAAAATACTTCTTATTATGTAATTTAAAATAATAAAAAAATCCTACCATTTCAAGGACTTTCTCTCATTTAATGATCATCTTTTTGCAGTCTGGCCTCATAAAATAAAATCAGTTATTTTCCTTGGGAAAGATAATTGAAAGCTTGAGATTTTTTTGAAAAATGAAATTAGGCTAGTTTTGAAATTTATTTGGATGATGCTATTTTTGATGATCCAGATACACGTTCTCAAGAAGAAAGGAATAGAGTAGTACACATTTCAAAGTGGCTAAGGAAATCCATCAGACAGTATGAAAGTTTTGACAAGTCACTTAAGGGACTAAAATCATTTTTCAGAGAAGTTAAGGTAAGGTCCTATATAGCTTCTTCCTCGTCTTTTCTTTCATTTTGTGTCGACACCTTATTTTTATACAGGCAATCTGTGGCTGAGTGATATTAACTAAGATTATTTTCTCTGCCTGCACTTGCTTGCAGGATCAGGATGGCAAAGATAGGGTTGGTAGCATAAGCAATTCTGACATGGAAAATATATCTTCTACAAAACAAAGCAATGGTTTTAACCAAAAAGAAAACTTCAAAAGCAAACCAGTTCTCTAATGAACTACATTCTGCAAAAGAATATGATGCCTGTTTTCCCCAACAAAGACTTCAGCGTGCTGTTGCAGTTCAGGCATGTGTTCAAGCAGATGGGAGCAAAAATAGATGTAGAGAATCTATTGACATCGAATGTGGTTTTCCTAGTGATTCAAGGTAAGTGAACCTCTTTGTTCTCTATTTCATCAAATTTCACTACCTGTAATAAAAATGAAAGAACATAATCATTTGTGGCTGTCATGTAGTGAGTGCCATAATAGGTTCTAGCTTTATCCTTCTGGATTTTACTGTTGAGGCTATGTAACTTGCTTCTGAGCTTCTGATTTTGAAATTAATTCTTCTAGATATGGTACACTGTTGGTTTTGCTTAAATTTTTTCCCACCATCTATAATTTCAATTACCCTGCTAGAGAAACCTGGAATCTGAGTCATAATATCGCAGGTGCTTGGATACTTTGCTCACGACATTCTCTAGTGAAGATCCAGAAACATCGATGGTGAGGGTCCAGCTTCCTTATCCAAGAATGGAAACTCTCAAGTCCAAACATAACTCAGGCGTCTACCGAATCTCCAAATCAATTTTTATTTCGTCCAGTGGCTTCAACTAGCCTGGACAAAGATCCTCCTAGTGATGAGTCTGTGACGACAGTCACTCCTCAAAAGGATTTCACAGAGAACACCGGCAGCTTGATACCAGGAACAGAATCTTCTTATAACCAGAGTGTGAGTTCTCATACACAGAAAAGGAGGAAGACCATGGTTTCCCCAGTAATTGATGTTTCTGACGATGAACTGTCTGATACATCCAATGCCCAGGTGGCAGGATGTTCGAGTTTTAAGAGGAACTTAGAGATATTCAGAGATTCTACTAGCAGGATTGAATTTGGTTTTGAGACTTGCTCTGCTGAACACCATTCCATGAAGATGAATTATTCTCAGTCACTGGCAGTTGATACCAATGTTGTTAAATATATTGTTATGGACAAGAGATTAAAGATTTCTTGTTCACTTTGCAGAAGCCCCATAGGCCTTCCTGATAATAATCTGTATGTTAGTTGCTCATTAACTTCAACTTCAAAA